TTAGTGTTTTTATCTGATGCAATCCTAGTTGTTTGACGTGGTATATATTAGTACTTTTCGTTTCATCTGACTTTTCTGCTTTTAATATTGATATTCATTGGTATGTTTTGTTAACACATTCTTTCATTACATGTTTATTGTTTTGGCACTTCATCACAAAAAAAGGGGAGGAATGTTTTGTTTGGAACACTAGGAATGATTCACATCACATTTATACCAAGAGAAAGATCACTAAGGGGAAAGCATACTGTTTTTGCATGCCTATTTGGCTCTTAGCATGATGCTATGCCTATTTTTTCATTACTCTTAGTGCTTCACTGTATCCCTACCTTATACTTGTGATTCAGATTTACTTATTCTCAAATCTCTATGCATTTCACAAGATATTTGGCTCGAGCAATGTGAAACACTAGTTGACAAACAAAACTAAGTTCTTGGGAGGATTTTGTTCAAATCTTTTATTTCCAACATTTTGACGATGTACGTGAGCAGAGGGGATTTTTGTTTTGAAGATTAACGAGTAGTATTTTCTTTCTTTGAAGGCAAAGTATATTTTGTTACGGAATTCCCAAAGAGGGTTATTGTTAAGATTCTATAGGGTTGGTTGGATCTCATGAGTCACATTATAATAAATCTCCATTTGAGTTTTTGAGTTGTTAAGTCCAATGGTCATGATACTTACTGTTGTATATTATGCAATCTACTATTTCAAAAGTCAAAGCACTAAGTCTTGCACTGTGGGTTAGTGATTTTATCATAAGTATTTATATTTCTTTCCTTATATTGCTATTGACCAAACACTTTAACACGTGCAAGATCAATGGCTGATTCGCCAACTTCCCTCTCTATCATTTGACCGATGGACCCTTAAATCACGCCATTGAAATATTCTTTCCATTTGCCAACTTATGTCCAACTATAATTTGCTTCCTTGGAGGTACAATTCCAGAACATGGAAAAGAGAAACCCACTCAGACTTTCTGAACGTGCAAGCCAAAGTTCACAAACCAAAAGCCTTTTCCTCCTTTTTTCATTATATATGTGAAACCCATCTTCTTTTGAAGCAATTACTTGAAGTTCTAACAACTCTGGGCAATCAAAATTCAAGCTATTCCTGGCCCACCACACTACAAGACCACGTTTGTAGATACCATGGTCTTGCTGAACTCAAATTCGTGCTCCGAGGGGCAAAATATATCCTTAAGGATAGTGATTACTTTTGGCTTAACCAATAGATTTCTCTGGTCTTTTTATAATATTGTGTTATTATATCCATACCATCACATATTTTACCACAATTTTAAGGATAGATCATGGATATGGATGCTACTTTCCTCACTACTAAGGCTTTCCCTGAAACCTCTAAAATTGGGACTTTTAGTGGACATTTTTTCAAAAGACGATAAGAGTGAGTTTTTCTGCCTTAGAAGTCCTAGGGCGGGCCTCTTCCGTGTTACAACCAAAGCCTAGGGAGGGAATAAAAAATTATGAGAAATTACTCAAAGGGTGGGAACAATAAGCCTTGTATGCACACAATCCTTAGCACCTTAGCTAATGTTCTATTCGATGTTTATTGTCCTTTTAAAGATACTAGGAACATTTGGGAGTTTATGGATAAGAAATGTATTATTGAGGATGCTCGAACCCAAAATTTGCTATTGGGAATTTTCTGCACAACCAGATGACTCATGAAAAGACATTCAATTCCAAACCAATGAATACCATAGGCTACTAGAAGACTTCAAGAATGGAAACATTAAGTTCAAAAGGAATTTGTTATAGGAGCTCTAATTAAAAAGCTATATGAGTCATGGGAAAACTACAAACAATCTCTAAAACAAAAGAGAAATATATGTCACTAGAAGATGTTATAGTCCACATTGTTAGAAAATTGCTCATTTGTATTGACTTATTCCCTGAAATCATAATGTAAATCTCAACCTAAATTCATGGTCATGATTCTTCAAGTTTAAGATATGAAAGTTACACGAAAAAAAGACTTCAAGCTTTAAGTCACAACACAAAGATCTCCCTTGATTCTTCAAAGCTTAGGGAAGGTAATGGCCTTAGAACCTTGGTAATTTTACTTTGACTTATTAGGCTATAATTAAATTTGATTTAGGATGATTCGTGAATGACTCACATGCTTTTTCATAAAAACACTTTTGAAACATCAAACTTTGTTTTGAAAACATAGATTGTCATGTGTCAAATTCTTATTGAGCAATACTATTTAGTGATCAATAGGGCATGTTTTTATTTTATTTTTGGCTTAAAAACTAGTAGGGATTATCCTCTACTTTGTCGCTTTCGGCTAGAGCGGTCTCTAAACATGTAACATCCGTTTTCTCAGACACATTAATTGATGAATTAATACCACAATTGTATCTCCAAATATAGGGTCATAGTTCTAATTATCTCAATGTTAGATCATATTTGTAATTGACTAATTTTGTGGAGTCCAATGTAAATCTCAACCTATTCCATGATCATGATGCTATAAAGTTTAATATCCGAAAGCGTCATTGAAAGGAGGAGACTAGACGTCAAAGCAATATCATTCAACCTTTGTATGCACATTCATACTTAAGACAAGGTAAAGACCTAGACACCTAAGATGACAAGTTTTTGGCCAATACCATTTTATGCTCAAGAGGTCAAGTTTTTGCATGGTTTTATGCTTAAAAACTTGTAGGGATCGATCTATGTTTGCTAGCATTCGCTAGAGCGATCTCTTTATGACTTAGGGAATGAGAAAATGCCATAGAAGGTAGCATCGGGATTGCTCTATGAGCTTGCTCAAGCGGTCCTTCATGGTCACTTAAGTGATGCTTATGGTCGCTCGAGAAGTTATTGCCTTAGTTAGTGCTGCAACATGATTTTTATTCTAGTGACAACTGCCCTATGACCGCCCTCCCATCGATTGATTAGTCATTTGCAAATTTGAGTTTTCGTATTTATTAAGACTACCTTTATTCTGGACCTATAAATAGGGAGAGTCTTTTCCACACATAGGTTAAGCTTCTTGTGAGATTCCTAAAAGAAAAAAAAAAATCATCTTTGTCCCTTGAGAGCTTCCACCATAACTTAGATCTCTAAGACCCAAAAGGCTACCACTAGAGATTCTACCTAATCTCACAATTTAGAGAAGAAGAATTTGTGGGTTGATAAACCAACTGGTGTGTGCATACCAAAGATCGTTGGCATGCCCAAGATTGCCCGATGCCTAGACAAATCGTGCGGCGGGGAGGTTCAAGTGAAGCTACACTAGACATAAAAAAAGTACCTTTGACAGAGACACAATAAGGAAAGTAGTATCTAACTATGGTATTGGTTGCGGTATAGGCTTGCGTACTTATATTTTGAATTAGAGACTAGTGGATTAGGATTTGGTGAACCAAGAAGGTTCCCCACAATTTTTCTTGAGGAGGGTTTCCATGTTAACAAATTATTTGTGTTTTTATTGTCTATTGTACACACTTGTGATTGTTTTCACACATATACACTATGTGTTTGTTGGAATGATTGTTTGAATATTCATCCATACATAGTTGTGTAATTGGGTTTGAAATTTGGGATCGCCGTGAGATTGATTGTGAGTGAATTAATTTAATATTAATTAAAATTAATTGTCATGGTTAATTTGGGTTGTGGTGACTAAAGAAGTTCTCACATTAATTGCTATATTTTTGTGAGATGAGGTAATTGTGGTAGGTTAGGTTTTAATTGGTAATCAATTAGGTCAAAATTCAAAAAATCTATTCACCCCCTTTCTAAGTAAAGTTTCTATTGCTCCACGTGTATAATTGTGAGGGAAAATCCACATCAAGTTCCCCATCCTAGAACCATAATTGATATCAGAGCGTGGTAACCTTGGGTACCTAGGCACCAAGTAGGCATTTTTTATTTTTTCTTACTTGCCTAGTTTTCCTTGAAGAGATCTATCATTATTTCTAGTTAGTCTTGAATGGATTCTCAAAAGGAAGGTGGTTGAATTGGAAGACCACCATTCTTCAATGGATTGAACTTTGAATATCAAAAATCTTGCATGAGAGAATTTGTTAAATGAATTGACGAGAGAGTATGGATGACCACCCAAGAAGGTTGGAGCCCTCTTACCGTCACCATACAAGTCGAAGGTGGTGAAGTAGTGATTGAAGTGAAATCCCCGAAGGTCTAGACTACAAATGAGAATAAGTCAACAAGGTGAAATGCAAAAGGCTTGATTGTTATATTCAGTGACACCAAATGAGTTTCGAAGGATCACAAATTGTAAAACTTCAAAGGAAGCATGAGACATCTTGATTTTTTCCCACGAAGGGATTTCTATGGTGAAGATGTCTAGACTCTAAAGGTACACCTCTTAGTCCCAGATTTTGAGGATGTAAGATGATGAAATATTTAGTGAATTTTATGTTAAATTATGTGATATTGTAAATTCATCATCTGCATTAGGTACAAAGGTTAGCGATGTGGCCATAAAGTAAAAAATTTTGAGATCTCTACCCGAGAGATTTCATGCTAAGGTCACATCCTTAGAAACAATTGTCAAAATGAAATTGGTATCGGTGGAAGACACAGTTGGGCATATATTAACCTTTGAGATGAACCTTCCATCCTTAAAACAAGCTAAGTGCATTGTCTTGAGGTTGAGAAATCAAGAAGGAGTCAAATCTGGGTCATCTCAATTAGGAGAGGAGGACCTAGGCTTAATTATAAAAAAGTTCAAAAAATACTTTAAGACTAGAAATGTGGAGTCCTCAACAAGAGGTTGAGAGAGAGGGACAAGGCTTCCAATGCTTTGAATGTCAAGGATTTGAACATATTGCATTGAAATGCTTGAATAAAAAGAAGAGAGATTCGGCCAAAGCCAAGAGGAGAGCTATGAAGGCCACATGGAGTGATAGTGAAAGTGAATTAAACTTGAGTGTTGATTCCTCTTCTAATGATGATGAAGGGAACTTTACAGCTTTTATAGGTACACTATCTTCTCTCCCTAGAGAAATTTCCACGAGTGAAGTTGGAACAAGGACTACCACAAAAGGTAGATGACTTGGACAAGAAAATCCCCATATGTGTGGAGAATGTTATTTGTTATGAGGATATACAAGATTTATATGATCAATTATATGTGCAATTCCTCAAGCAACAAGAGAAGGTGCTCTCCTTGATTGGTCAGTTTAACTCAGGTAAAGAAGAGACAAGAGCACTTCAAGTGGACTTGGTGAAGTCCAAGGCCCAAATATGTGGCCTAGAGGATGAGAAGAAGTCTATCCTTGATCGAGTAAGCTTTCTTGAGAGAGAGTGTCATGAACTTGTTAGACAAAGAAGAATCTTTAGTTAAAATGTGTCAAACATGATAAAGATCTTCATGAATCAAATGAACTCTCAAAGAGACTTCCTGGATGCAATAAAAAGTTTGATAGAATGTGATGATGAATTATTTTTCCAGTAGTCTGCACAATTCCGACATGTCGAGATGCTCGAAAAAGAAGGTTAGAAGGGCACTGGAGTGTTTTTTGGTGTGACCCCTTCGATGGTCAAGTTAGTATGTGGGAGAGATGAAGGAAAAACACTGTTCTATTGCTTGAATATGACTTGCGTACCTCTGTTTTTGAGTTTTTTGAGAGCTATTTATACCTCCCTGGAGGTAATCATTGTGGAAGGTGGGCCCCTTGGAGAGGAAGTCCCCACTGGCCCATTTGGAAGGTG